ATTCCCCGCTTCCTTGTTGAGGCCATTTGATAAGCATTGAAAGAAGTCAAACAAGAGCAGATATACTTATAGTGTAATCTTGCAGTTCCTTCACCAATTCCTAATTGAGCCACTCCGCAAACTGTTGATACACCATTGAAGTACAAGAAATATAAAGCTATTGCTAACTGAATTACTAGAGAGGCTTGAGGACTATTGGAGTTATTGTGGAAAATGGGATCGGTACGAATATGTAAGAATAGTCACTCAAATGAGTTTCACTTTATTCGAAAGAAAGCTTTAAATCTATCTTCTGAAATTGTGAAAATCTAATTTATATTAATCTCTGGTCTTTTTTATTAAAAACATTTCACATTTGATTTATTACATATATAGTAATTGAACATATAATCAGAACATGGTATCAGATTTCATGGCATCAAGTACTGTATCGTTGGTATTCCAAGTCCAAGCAACTCAACTGTCTCCATTTCATCTGCTCCTAGACCCTCCTCCCTTCCATCAAAACATATCTCAAGTATATTTTCCCCTTTGGAATTTATCATCATAGGAGTCTCTAATATAATGAAAAAGCGGTTCAGGTTAAAGTCTTTGGCATTCAGAGGTTGAAAATGGGCTGAGTGCGATAGCTGAAGACAGGAAGAATATAGAGACAAATCATCATCGAATATTGATTGAATAATGGTAATCAATAACCATATATCATGAAGTTGATAAAGAATTCTTGCTTTTTCAGAGGTGCATGGCATTGGATCCTGATTGAGGTTGTTTGAATATCACTTTTTTTCTTCATTTCATTTTCTTTTCTTCCTACTCTAATTATATAATCTTTGCATACTCTGCTACTACATACCTACTTTTACTTGTTACTGACCTCTTAACATCCATATCTACCAGGAAAACCTGTAATATCTAGTAAGCTAGATTTATAGTAAATTAACCATTTCTGGCTGTGCCAAGCTTACATGAAACAGGAAAGTAAGCTACCTTTTTTTTCAAGTACTTCAACTTTGAATACCCCTACTGCCGCACGAATTAATACGGTACCAATACTCTACTCGTACTCTAGTCTACTCAAGTACGGTACCGTGTTTACTCTTGAGAATTGCTAGCTCCATTAGGTGTGGTTCGGGACTCGGAGACAAAAAAATTGTTGGGAAAAGGATTAGCGCTTTCCTAACGCAGTACAGCCTAGTCCCTCCCTAGCCATGTTTGCCTAATTTAACCGACCTTCGCAATTCCGTTAACTTGCCAATCCAAGCCTATCGTGGGCTGGTGTCGAGGTTAGCGACCTAACCAAGATAGCGAATCTTAGAAGTGAATACGGTATACTACACAAGCGGCGGTAGCAACATCTCCACGGTGTAACCTCACAGTTGGTACTATCGCGCCTGCCGCGCCTGCCGGGTGTGGCGGCCATAGCGGATGTTCCAGAACGCTTACGACGAAATTTGAAACTTTCTCAAATTTCCGCTATGCAACAGAGATTGATTGAGACAGAGGCAAAAGGGGTTACCTGTAACCATAGGGTGTCATAGAGGGTGACCTGCGATAAGTTGCGGCTACCCTTTCCCCCAAACCTTACATCATGAGAGCACACTTGCACTACTCGGGCAGTAAGACCCTTCTACTCGAATACGGTATTGTTTCTAAAGCCATAATGATGAAAAAAGAGACCCCCCCGGTCAAGACTATTGAATATCATTCGCTCTCCCGGTACGATACGTTGCGGCCCAATCCAGAACGAACGCACTCCCTTACCTTCAACCCGGGACAGCCCATTCGCCCTCCGACGTATATACCCTTCACCAACGCCCGAGTCTGTATGAAGTGAGAGCCAGTTGACAATCCTTACTGGGTTGAACACAAGAAAAGTCAGGCCGAGTTCAATGCCGGGATCCCTAGGAAGATTCCTGGAAACGACAACATTCCTGATCTCCAAAGGTACGATACCTTGATAGGGTGGCAGACACACATGCGGATTTGGAGGTGCTGCAACCGGCTACTAACGCTGCTGTGCGTAAAAACTTTAACTGTTGCCGTATCATATGATAAGATTAAGTTTGAGAAAGGTCGCTACCGTGGGAACGGGAATGTCCCCATGTCATTTTTTGCGCATGCCCTCATCTGCGTATCCTGCTTGCGGGCAGTTCTCGATAGGGATCGCGTGGTGACTTGTCGGGCGGGAGTGCTGTGGAGGTGGATCTTCTAGAGACGTATGATAATTTATGGTGTGAGCTGTCCAAAATGTACACCAGACATTTAATTATCAAATTTTATAGGCTCTGCAATCGCAAACATTGTTGAGAAATAACCCCCCCTCCCCCCTATTTATTAAACAAAAGATGAGGGAGGAGGTTAAGCAGGTTTTTCTTTTTTCAATGATGTTTGGGATTTCAGAGCCTATAGAATTTGAAAATTAAATGTCTGGCGCACATTTTAGACTGCTCGAATTATATAAAAGAACCTCTTTCTACACTCCCTCCCTCCCTTCCTCGCGGAGACATCCACATTGAAACTGACGAGAAGAGAACCACGAACATTTCCCAAGGGCGTGACCGCGGCAATAATTAGTTTGCTTTCTTCCTTCATTTCCTTCCTCCGCTCTTTCTGCTCTCCCGTGTCTGTGCCGACCCGTCGTTTGGATACTTCGTTGATCGTGAGCGTTTGACCGAAGACGCACCAGCACGAACCCGGCAGACCCTCTATTGAGCGTGTGCCATTGCCCACCTTTTCCAATTGTTGACTGCCAGCGAGTGAAGCCTGCTTAACATTTGTGTTCCCTTTCCAGATCCCGTTTCGTTCTCTTATTGTTAACATTTCTCCTCCGGGAAGTCGACATGAGCCATGAATACGAGACTAAGTTAGTCTCCTCCAAGGATTCTTCATCAACCGCTAAGATTAATAATGAATCTGGCTGGTCTCCCAAACAGAAAGAATCATTCTTACCACCTACCAAGGAGCCCATCACCATAATAAAGCAACTATCCCCGGAAGCTTTATCCATACTAAACGTCTCCAAAAACGCCCTCCCCGACCTCTCATCTCCACAAATATCAGAAACCATAACCAGAAGCCTTACTGCCCTCCTTCTCGCTGGAGACATCCTTTGTACAAGATTCATCCCCTCCCGTTCCATCTGCGTTGTAAACATTTCCCCAACATTGACCACCAAAATCCACATCTCGGAGGAAAATCTGGACCATTTAGACCTAATCGACTACATTAGGGCGCAAAATCGCAACATCCCTGTCTCTGAAACCTATGGTGTGCTGCGTGTTGGGTCGAGGACGTATGTCTTTATGAGACACATTGCCGGCAAAACCCTTCAAGATGCTTGGAGTGTCCTTAATCACGAACAGAGGATCTGCGTCTCCAAAAAGCTCTCAGGAGTCCTATCTTCCTTAAGGGAGATAGAATATACGCCCGGCAGTCCACTGGGCTGGAACGGAATTGTGAAGGACTGGCGCCAGCACACTCGCATCGGTTACAACATCTGTTCCGAAACGGAATTCAACGATTTCCTCTTATCCAACCCTCCCAATACTATCTCGAGGGCTGAGTCCCCACAGTTGAATTCTCTACTATCAACGTCCCATAGAATTGTCCTGTCGCATGGCGACTTTCATCCAGGAAATATTATGATCGATCCAGAGAGCTTGGAAGTCCTTGCATTGATTGACTGGGAGTTTGGAGGGTGGTATCCAGAGTATTGGGAATTTGTAAAGGCGATGGAGCCTGGGCCGTGGGATGAATGGTGGCGGTGGTTCCCGAGGAGTGCGGCCGGGTACGAATTGGAGTGGGGGGCTGATTTGGTGTTGGATAGAGTTTTGGGTTACGGTGTAGTGGAAATCGGTGATGGGGATGAGTGGTTGTAGCTGATGGTGCGCTATTTATTTTGCAGTATAATATTAGATATGGTGGCCATTAGTGGCTTTGGTAATGTTTTACCCTCGCACTAGGTGTCTTTTATTAAATTTCATTTCAACCGCGTTTTCTATCTCTTGCGATCCTCTCTTTATAAGCTGTTTATCCTATGATATAAGATTTGGAGTTCTCCCTGATATTAGTTAGTTTCTGGAGAGTGACTAAGTTAAGTTTTTCACCTCAAATATTGTGAGCCCGCGAATATGAGAAACGGGTTTCCTAGTGGGCTAGAAATCAAACCTAGGTTACAGACCGTATATCCAAAGTCTCTGGCTCATTCAGGTCCAAATACTTCCTGCGAAGCTAGACAGACCAGTAAACGACAGCGCAAACCAATGGTAAATAAAGCATGGCCTTGTATTTCAGATCCCGGGGGACGGTTATCAGACCCTTTTGTGCAGGGTACTGCTCACAATGACGGTTCCAGGAATCCTCAGATGTGGAATGCAAGCAAGATACTTATTCAGATAGAGCTACATACTGGATGCCGACTACACATTCCATGCCCTTTATCTTCTCCAAAAAATTGTGTTTAGTTAGGGCTTTTGATCTGCAGAAGGCCAGAAACCTTGATAAGTTTCGAATTCAATAATTAGTCTAATTCAACGAGTGATCGCTTATGATACCGAGGTATGACGAAGCGCGATAGGTCTTTCGCAGTTTCACACTCTTTAAACGCCGGGAAATTCACAAGTGGGGGGCTCCAATCAACTCTGTGGATCATAGATCAAGAACAGAGTTTAGGATATATATTTTAGGTGCGAAAAACCGACACATAAAATTACCGATAAGGGCATGGTGAAAATCTACTCCGGTCCGAGGGAGCGCAAAAGAGGTCCCCGCAAAAGGCAGGGTAGGACCTCGGCTGGCGTATGGCCAACTGGAGCACGAGTGCTTGTACTGTACGAGTACTGTAAGCCCGCACTGTAAAGTTAGTCTACCCACCCCGGCACACGTAGGATCACCTGAATCACCCGCTTTTCACATGCTGCGTCCGAAGGTCAGGGAATGGCTTGGCGGTTGTACGATATCTAGACTGCAGCAATAGTTTTTGGCCTCACATGTCATTCTCAAGCAAAGCTTCCGCCGAAAGCCTCCCCAAACTATTTCTATCACCCCTCCTCTTCTCCATTCATTTCTTCCCCCCGCTCCTTCACATTGTCTGCCTCCCTCACCAAGTCCTAGATATATCATTTTTGTGTTTGTTCTGAAGCTGTCATCGCGATGTCTGGTTGGTTGGCCCTCTGCCACCTACCCCTTGTTCTGGGACTCAGGAACTGACTCGGTTCCAGCCTCCGCTCGCCTCAACCAGATTACAAAGCAGCTTGCTCCAGGCAACAACTCAGCCCGCGACAATCTCCTGGAGAAGCACGCCGATGATGTACGTTACGATAACCCCTGGTTTTCTTCTTTTTTAAAAAATAGGTTTAACAGAATTTCTAGGTTGTTGTGACATGCGCTCTACGAACAGCTTTAACAAAGGGTGGGCGCGGTGGTTTCAAAGATACTCCGGCACAAGACCTGTTGGTCGGTGTGCTCAAGGGGCTCATCGAGCGCTCTAAAATCAACCCGGCCGTTGTTGAAGACGTTGCCGTAGGAAGTGTACTCGCCCCTGGTGGTGGTGCTACCGAGTTCAGGGCCGCTAGTTTGGTTGCTGGGTTCCCCGTCGAGACCGCCGTATATTCGCTGAACAGGCAATGTTCCAGCGGTCTGGTTGCGTGTGCCAACATTGCTAACGCAATCCGTGGTGGACAAATCGATGTTGGTGTCGCAGCCGGTGTTGAGAGCATGAGCACTCAGTACGGGTATGTTACTCTTACCCGACTCCTCATGATTGTTCCTGACATTTCGATAGCCCTAGTGCTGTTACCGAATTTTCTGAGCTCCTCGACAGCAATGTCCAAGCCAAGAACTGCACGGTTCCCATGGGCGTTCTTTCAGAGCAGATGGCTAAGGACAGGAACATTTCTCGAACCAGACAAGACGCTTTCGCTGCCGCATCATTCCAGAAGGCCGAGAAAGCTCAAAAGGCTGGTCTCTTCGTAGAAGAGATCTACCCACTCGAAGTCAGCTTTGAGGACCCCAAGACCGGAGAGACCAAGCGCATTATCGTTGACAAAGATGATGGAATTCGCCCTGGAATGACCGCAGAGGGTTTGGCCAAGATTCGTCCCGCTTTTGCCAAGGACGGCTCAATCCACGCTGGAAATGCGTCTCAGATTTCCGACGGTGCCGCTGCCGTTCTCTTCATGCGCCGTAGCGCTGCTGAGAAGCTCGGGCAGAAGATCATTGGCAAGTTCGTTACGTCGGCAGTCGCTGGGGTTGAGCCCTTGTTGATGGGTATCGGTCCTTGGGCTTCAATCCCCAAGGTGTTCGCCAAGACTGGTCTCACAAAGGATGATGTTGACGTTTTCGAGATCAATGAAGCATTTGCCTCTCAGTGCTTGTGGTGTGCGGAGGAGCTGGGTTTGGACAAAGCAAAGATCAACCCCAAGGGAGGAGCCATCGCTTTTGGTCACCCTCTTGGATGTACTGGCGCGCGCCAGGTCTCAACTCTGATGACCGAGTTGAAGAGAACGGGTGGAAGGATCGGATTGACTTCCATGTGCATTGGGACTGGAATGGGAATGGCTGCTGTCTGGGTTGCGGAGTATTAGGTGGATTGCTAGAGGAATCATTAGACTCTCTCCTTCGCTGATAGCTGGGGGTTCCTGTATAATAAGTAGCTTGGGTGACAACATCACTTCTCCCACTGGAATGTGGCGGCATTGCAGCCGCGCGATTAGCATCCGAAAATCATTGCCAAACCTAGGGGCCCTATTGCATTGCATATGGTTTGATATTTAACCTGTGACGGCATTCGTCTGCTGCATTCTGGTCGGAGGGACCCCAGATTATCGGTACCGCAGCACTCAGGGGAGGATTTAAGCTTCGATTTACGATATCGAAAACCTTTATGTCGGCGCCGCGCACTCTACACGGATGCAGGTAGCCGAAATAGTAGCTCTTGTCCTAAACAAAAATCTACGAACCTGAAAATGACAGCCTTACCTCCCTGTACCCCAAGCCACGCTGGGCGAGTGGGAACCTATGCAGCATCCCCAACCGTCCGGGGCACGGCGTCCCCCCCCCACACCCGAGCAAAGACGGCCGCCCAGAGGGCTGACGCCGGGCCCCACAGTCTTAGAACGGATGGCATCTTCCGGCGGTTATCTACAGGCCCCGGTCATTACCTGCAGGGCCTGGCCGTCACCTGTAGGGCCCGCCCATCCGTCCCGGGCATCCACCCATGCACTGCCATCCGTCCGGTCCGCACCCAAGGACTGATGGACTGGACGCTTGGGTTCACTGAGCCTATGTGAGGTGGCAGCACAAGCTCTGGAGCAAAAGACCATGCAACAAATTGATTGACCAAATAATCCATGAGATGCCATCATTTCAAACGAATTCGAAAAAAAGGGCTTTCGAGTAGGTCCAAGTGTATGCATTCGCTTGTACTACTCTACAAAGTGCTGTCATAGTCTGAACCACAAGCTGTGATGAGTTTCTAGCTGGCCCTACTTGACTAAATCTCTCAATGATGTCACTTGGTCCGCTCCACTGGTTAAACCGCTTCAAAGTGGCCCTCCTTGCTCTTTCCTCCTTTTCACACCATCCTAATCAAACTTCTATTCTTCTCCCGCAAGAACAAGTATCCTCTCGCTTTCTCAAATTCATTGTCTTTATCAATCACCAACTTGTTTTCAACTGGAGTCCCACGCTCTGTACCAACCATTGGCTGCAGAACCGCTCCTTTCATCCTTACTACCACTCAGGGGCCGAAGGTAATTGCCACACGAGAACTGTGTATTGATAGCTAACTATGCTGCAATCTTGGAGATGGTCTTAGGACTGGTTTGAACCGAGGTCGATGGTAGCAGTGATGTGATCCAGCAGTTTACTGTCGTTAAGGATAGCTTAACTCTATCTATTCCGCACATTGTTCCCATTCAAGTTGGCTCTTACAGTCAGCCTGAGGCTGCGTATACCAATCCAGAGGGGAGGTCACTTTTAAAAGCGTTTCGCAAGATGGAAACACAAGTACAACGACTACTGGGGGAAAGCCAAAACTCGAGGGAGGAAGCCCGGAACTTGAAGGAGGAAACCCGCAACTTGAGGGAGGAAAACCAACAAATGACGAAAGAACTTACACTCCTCCGGCCTCTAAAAGGTATGCTGTCGCAATTCGAGAACGATTTTTCACCACATTTCAGCAGCGCCGTGAGTTCCATAGGATAGGAGATCATACCGCAATCCGCGTTGGAAATGAGGTGGCGCACGAGGGAGATGTTACCTCAGATGTTTGTCTTCTCGAAAATGGCTTAATACAATACTATTGTACCTTCAATGCTCTCTACGGTTTTGATTGCAAGGAGGCAAAGGTTTTTTTAGGTATGCTGATTCTTTTTGACCGGTATCCTTGGCTAGGTTAATTTCTGACCGTGAGTACTGATAGTATTTCCCCACATGGTAACCGCAATGGACAAGCGAGCTACCGCCCTTACAAGGGTCGATGGGAGATGGAAACTGGAGGTGGAATTCCAGATGTTGGCAAATTGGACCCAAACGGCAACGGCAGAGGGGCTTGGAGAGTTTACAGCAGATCAAGTAGGAGCCAACTATTATAAGAATCTGTTCTTGAAACTCAAATACAACGGTTGAAAATGACTGGTGATGGCGCCAGCGTTGGCTATGGGGTTCATTAAAGTGCCAGAAATTGGGTTACTACCCCAGCACCGGGATGGTCAGCTCCATGTGCTGAATAGGAAGTTCTTGTTTAATTAGTGCTTGTTACATAATTATGAATAACTGATACAGGAAACGAATGGCATGCGTTACGGTCTCCGCTATGCAGTGGTAAAGAGCCCTTGATTTTTTTTTTTTGACCGGCGATTCCTTCCTTGCCCTCGCGTCGCGTCTGGTCCTAGGAGCTCCTCCGACTCATGGCAACTCATTCGTCGAGGCGAGAGTAGACATCGTCCGCTCCGAGTGCCTCGCTGCATTTGCCGCGGGGCTAGCTTGGATTTTGGCACTGCTCAATGACGTGAAGAGGTTTAGGAAGACCGCTGCTGGATGGTTGGAACTGCTGGGGCGTATAGCCACAGCTTCGGCGGTGTTGGGGCCTGCAGCGACTGCTCTCGCAGCATATGCCCCGAGGAGTTGTTGTGGGTTTGATTGGAGTTGTGGGGAAAAGGCTGGGTGAGAGAGTGGGGGGAGGGCTATCTAGACCAGGTGGTGAGTGTTGCCGGTTGACTTTTAGACATTGCCCCGGGGATGCCTTTGTGGCGGGATATGAATTTATGGCTCTTTTCTTGTCGGAAAAGTCGTCATGTGTGATTCTCGTATGCACAGGACCGTGCATGTTGTGCCATGCTCGTTCAATAGCCTTTATGCACATTGTATGCAACAGGACCACAGACAAAGACTCTTGCCTGCTTCCTTTACTAAACCTATGGCACAACACAATATATTTCAGAAAACATATAGCGACCGACCTAGCATGGATTAAAATAACATGCAGTTCCCGCACCCACATTCCTAATATCGCTTTCAGTGACGTAGAATTAAGCCTAGCAGACCAGACTAGCTCCTACAGCCTTCCAAACACCAATATGGACTCCCAAAATCTGAGGCCCGGGACAATTCAGAAAAAGGACCAATTCGCACAATGATCACAATAGGCAGCAGCGAGATAGTGTCTGCACAAGGCGCCAAAATCCCTTAACGGCCCATTTGCCAGCGACAGGCCAGCCAAGTACGATAGCATACGGCACTCCAACCCCCGCATCCCAACTTCTTTCGCTCTCAGTAACGTGTGTTTCTAGGCTCTCCACCAAGAAACTCCAATGCCATAGGGTTAGGGTTCCTAACAAAAGTTAGGATACCGAGCTGCAGAGTGACGTGGGCGGAGAATTTATATCCGTGGCTTCTCAGATCCACAGGAGAGATAATCCCACGAATCAGGCTCACGGTTCCTCTCCCCCCTTGCCCCTTCATCCCCCACCATCGGGAAGCGAGGGGGAGAAAGAAGGAAAGAAAGAAAGAAGAAAGAAAGAAAGCAGTCACTTTCCCACGTCCCAGGATAGCTATCATACAGGGGACATGCAGGCACCAGGGATCACCTGCTTACTGTTTTTGAGGCGACTGCGGCGGTCATTGCGCGGTAGGGCAAAACTGCTTCCTGGGAGGAGAGACACGGTCCGTGCGCTCCACCCCGGGGCACCACCCTCTCTTTCTCCCTGAACCTGAACCTGCGGGGATGGGTACTCGTATCATACCGGTAACTGGCAGGACAACTTGGGCACCCGCACCTTCCCTCGGACTGGCTGGGCTGGCATGCTTGACTTACCGCTTGCATGATGATCATTGGACGAGCCCTATCCTATCGCGCATTGACCTTACGGTACCAGTACGAGTACTAGTATAGTACCGGTACTATGCTCGAGTACCCGAGCATCCTGCCCTCAGTTACTGTACTGTATCTATCCTCCCCCGCCCAACTGATCAATAATCCCTGACCCAAATAATTACTAAGTCCCGCAGTAACAAATCCAATCCCAGCTCAACACACAGCAACAACCGGGGTGAGTGGTTCGACGAGCGTGGAAAAAAGAAAAGAAAAACGGCCGGCCAACTCAAACGGTATCTCAAAGCTCTTACCTCCAGTATGATAGCGTGGAAAAAAGTTCTCTTCATTGCCTATCTTTGACGTGGTGGTAGTCGATACCAACCGATTGACACGGGTACTCACCGTCACGAAACATCACTCGCCACCTCGAAAGGAGGGATCGATATTTAACGTTCACGTACGGTAACGGTCGGAGCCCATGCCGAACTGGCGGTTGGGAGAAAATTCCGTGGAGAGAGGGAAGGGCCCTTAGATTGTGTCATTTTTTCTCCCCTCCTTTTATTCTTTTTCCACGCAACATTTGTTCCTGACGGTGTACCCAGGTAGACGTGGTGAATTGTCATTGCTGTTTGCGGACCGATATTCGTGATGCTGGCAAGTGCATACACCCGAATGCACCCGCACAAGAAGTGAACCGTAAAAACAGCTGAAGTGAGTCCCTTAACCCGTTTTCAAGAACTGGGTTTTTTCTTTTCGACCTCCCTAATTTCAAGGGGCACCGGTATCACAGCAGCGGTACAAGTGCTCGAGACCACAGTAAAAGGGATTTTTGTGGGGAGTGGTTCGACGCTTTTACAGCGCGTTTGTCACAGCGGTGTCTTCTCGGTCACATGGGAGGTCCCGGACCTTCTGTTCAACAACGCACCCGTAGGTTGTTGGACAATGGGTACCATACCGTACTGTACCGTACACATGGATGTTTTTATTGTCGACATCCCACCGCAGTAAACATCCTACCGTAGTGATCACGTTTTAATGGCCGCCATCCCATCCTGATGCTTAGACGAAAACTGGAGCACTGGTAATGTCCTTATAACTCTAGGGATTCCTTTGGACTAGTGTTAAAAAATATTAGTAATGTTTCTTATGAACGTAGGGTACTATACCCGAATGGGGGGGTATGATAGAATTTCTCAGTCTGGGTCCAACTACCGTTAGGCTAAGGCATTGTACAGTACTCGTACTCGTACGATAGCAGAAATAGTAACCATATAAGTTAATACTACTACAAACTCCGGCGTACACACAAAAGCAGAAGAAAAAAAATGGAATATCATAGCAAGGGTCCCGTCTGGAGGCGACGGAACCATGGTTGAATCGGATAGACGATAGGCTACTTTTGTGGGACCAATAGCTCGTGAGTATGATACAGGATCTCTGCTTACCGGTACACTTGTGCTCTGATATTTCCCTGGGGCTAACCTAGGGCCCTCCCATCCTCTCACCGCGAGGGGGGGGGGGAAGGGGACAGGGGACAGTGACACAAGACCAGAAAAAACTAGCCATGTATGATAATAGCCTTCACGCTAAACTATATTCCCGAATACAGCCTATGATCACCAAGCACGAAGTCATATTCCTTCGAGAAGCGTCGCTCTGGCACAGCACCATACAGTGGATTTGCGTGCTTCTTTATTGCAATTCCCTTCCCTCGTATCATCTACATCACAGCGTTGCCAACAATGCTGGGCCTTCCGCCGCTATAAAGTGCCTTCAAAGTATCATAGTTGAAAATGAGTGAGGGGGTAAATCACACATAAGCGCGGAGGATGGGGGAAAAGAAGAAAAGAAAAGAAAACAGGTTTTTTATTTTTTATTTTTATTCTTTCTTTCAAAAAAACCAGCGCGATATATGATTGAGAACACCATCCGAAGGGAGGTACCCACCCGATATATGCCGACAAATGAAGAATTCTCGATCTCCCTCCCGCAAATAAAGTGCGGAACGAGAGGGGAAAAAAAAAAAATCTTATCAATGACTCCATCCAATAGATAAGAGTTCTCAGCGTCATAAAACTGGCGAGGGGTATGATAGAAGGGGGGGAAACCAGGCACGAAAACGGGAAAAAGAGGGAAAACGGGACGATATGAGAAGGGAAAAGAAAAAGAAAAAAAGAAAAAAAAAACCCCCCGCACTCTCCATTACCATCGCACGCACGAAGGTACCCCACGAACCTATTTCTTTCAGAAACACCCAAGTCAAGTGCCAACCTGCGGATGGCCCACGACGATAACTCCCTGGGACGTGACCATCCTACCGGAGGATCCATTATCCATGGGCAAGTTCCCCTGGCCAGGTAGTGAGCGAGTGACATAAGTGTTTCCAGCTCCGGGCCCAGGATATCCATGATGCGGTGGCATAAGGCCGCCTGCAAGAGATGATGCAGCCTGTTGTGACGGGGGCGACGTACCATTCCCAGCTCCCAGCGCATTGGTGCCAGGGCGTGCGCCGTCGGTGACGGAGAAATTCCGGCAAAGCAAATAAGCGCGCATTGCTGCGGCTTCGCGTGCGAGGACTTCGCTCTCCACCACGCCTTCTGACTGGTATTCCCGGTTGTTGACTCGCACTGTGCACGAGATGCCCGAGGGGAGGTATTGGCACTCGTAGTGCGGGTCTGACCATCTACGGCGACGGCAGAGACCTTGTTTGAGAGGCTCGTCAGTTTTTCTGATATCCCTGTTTGTTTGACTAGCGGGCAGGGGATGTTTTTTTCTGCGGGGAGGTGCATGGAGAGTGTGGGAGATAAAGGTCAATTGAGCTTAGAAGTTGTGTTTTCTAACGGATGTATGTCAATGTGAGATATTGGAGGGGTGGAGAGGACCTACTGGAGAGATACAAGATGTAATACATCTCCAGTAATAATGGAATGGATTAGGGACTGGATTCTAGCACAAAGGACACAGGAGCTGGAGCCGCGCGCGGGCTATATGCAAAGGTATATGGTGCGTTTATCACGGCTGCAGAGAGGGAATGGAGAGCGCCGGATGACAACGTATCTCCAGAGTAAGGGCCTTGTATTCGACACACGGCAGGAGGGAGAGACAAAGGGGGGGGGTAGTGATTCCTCAAGTTTGTTCCCGCAATTGGTAGGCAGTCTTCTGAGAGATTTGAAATTGTCCTGAACTTGATGAATGAAGGCAATTGTACCTTACGGCCTAGGAAATATGACCTGGAACCGTCTTATACGAAAAACTTAAGCGGTAAGAGGGGGGAGCAAAGGGTTGTTGTAGTGTGGTGCAATTCTTGAGAGGATCAGTAGGTGGGTGTAGGTGAGTTGTCCCCGGCCTTTTTCTGGAGAGAGCACAGCAGCCGTAATATATGACCCGGAGTGCGGGGGACCCCTCAGTCATAGCTGTCATCCATTGGAAGTGGCCGATTCACTGGGGCGAGCAGGTCTGCGGTCGATGAGCGAATAGAAACGGCCCGGCGGTATTGAGTACGTCGAAGCGGAGGATGGTGGACAATATCTAATCGAATGATACTACATGCTTTCGAACCCCCCCCGCCCCCCTGTAAGTAACCATGCTTCACGATACGTCGTTGGGAAAGGGGTGGACTTAATTCCTATCTCACTGCCAATGGAGAGTGCTGTCTCCCGTGACAGCGCTCCCGTTGCTTTTTTGCTTTTCTCTACCAGCGGGAGCGGGACAGACTGAGTTTCTGGGGTGAGGATGGCATGGGGGACAGAAGTAAAGGTGAGAGGGGCAACCCAGAGGAACAGTATCCTAGCGCCAAAACGAGATATCCCCAAACATCTTTCAGTGAGGTGGCGATATCGAGACGCGCCGAGTCACTAGCCTCCCATGTTATGTCTAGCGCCCGGGGATCACTACTTTGGCCTACAATTCGCCGTTCTCCAGGTCATAGCCAAACGTGTCGACAACAAAAAGGAAATAAAAACAAAGGAGGAAGGTAGGTAAGTAAGGGAAGAGCATCATACCCACTCCATGTCCGACTACGCGTTAAGGAATATCCACCCCAGGAGTGGGAGACGAACTATTGGTACGATAGTGCGCGAGGAGTCCTCCGAGATGAGTGAGGAATTCTCTCTTCCTACGAGATAATGAGGATCCCAAGAAAGGAAATCCAAAGATCATGGAAATTGATTCGCCCGATTGAATTTTTTTACTGCAGTATGCAATTCTCATACCCTCTCGGCCTTCTTCCCCTCCCCGCTTCGGATATCAGACATTTTCGCCTTGCCGGGCTAAGTCTATCAATTTTTCCCCAACATGCTTGCACGCTTCAATACCATGAATAGCCGAAGCCATCCCCGAGAATCGTGGCACTCATTTTCCTCTGAAGCTTAGCTTTAAAGCACGGTGCTGGGCAAGGAAAGGAAAAGGGGAAAAAAGGATTGGAAGGAAGAAAAGGGGAGAGGAAGCAGGCGTAACGGGTCAGATACGACCCACCAGCGTACGGAACAATTCAGAAGGTAGATAGGGCGGTAGAGGATGACTTGAGAGGCTAGTACTCGAGCAGAAGGGTTTAAGTTACTTACGGTATTCTTAGGGGGAGAGAGACTTAGGTTGCACCGAGTGTGACAATGGGTAAAGGACTTTCTATCTAGCCATTTCAATTCAGCTAAGAACCGCCGGCCGGTTGTTTTTCCGAAAATGTATCAAGTAAAGAGGACTTGGATTGTTTCTTTCCAGATTGACTGGCTTCCAACTGACGGACTGACAATATAGGCAGAAACGAACGTTGGAAGACGAAATGCATTGATGTGTTGGCATAACTAACGACCTTTCGTTTTTAAAGCCTGCACGAGCAAGAAGCATGCCGGGCCTTGCGTGAGGAAAATCAGAGAGTGAAAGTACAAATAGGTCCCGCATTGAAGCGGCGCGAGATAGATGATCGACGAAGTCGTCAATATTGCGCTATATGTACTGGCACTGTGGGCAGATGTATGAGTGCCTAACTTACTGCTGTAACCTAGGGTGGCTAGGCAGCAACGGGGATTTCGAGATCGATTTGCGGCCTTGGCCACTTCTCACCCCCTCCACATACGCTGTCGCGCTCAATCTTCGCCTCTCCTTCTCCTTCTCCTCTTCTCACTCTCCCTCCTCTTACCTAACCTCAGGAGAGGTGCTAGCTGCGGCATGGGAATTGGTCCAATAGTGGAAGAGGGGTGAGGGATCGATAGAGGATCCTGAAGAGTCCAATTCTCCTCTATCGGTCTGGGGTACCGTTGTCCTAAAACGGTAGTGGATCCTAAATAGGGTATCAAAGAAGTCTGGTATCATCCAGTGTTACCCTCAGGACTTAGGATTCGAGACTCGGGACTCTCTCGCATACGTGAACGGATCGTACTGGTGCGCGCTTGGAAGAAGATGCAGGAGGGCTGAGGAACAGGTGTTCGTTTGCAAATTGGACCAAGAAGCCTATGTACTGTAGTGCAATTGTGATATCTGAGAGGACTGACTAAATAAAAGAGGGATACCGTTGAGGTTGGAGGGAATCCTGGGGTACATGATTCGTTGGCTGCATGAAGGGTTCGGCAAGCTTAGCTCTGGGGAGGGGGGTAAAGTAGTGCTTTGTGGCAGTATCCGTCCATCAAGCCCACAAATCGCGTCTCTCAAAGACTGGCTGCCCCGCGATAATAGTAACCCGTGAGCTTGAGCAGCAATGGATGCAACAACCAGAAACCAGAACGAGCATCAGAATATCTTCAATGCGGAAAAAGCAAAGAGAAAGACTCTGTCTAGTGTGGCGCGTTCCTCGCTGGCCGGGAGAGTGGCCTAAGGAAAAAACACGTCTAAGATAACGGCAGTAAAATACGAGTACGGTAGGCAACAACCCCGCTCATGTGTGCCGATTTGAACGAAAGGGACCTAAGATACAATTATAACAATAAGTTGCAGCAGCTAGCTACCTGTAATTACATCATAAATGGAATTGGCGCCCCCAATGGTTCCATCTCTTCCCGGTCTTTGATCCTCTATTCCATGTATCGCACCTTTAAAGTAGCCCCCCCCAAAAAAAAAAATTTGGACTCAACCCGTAGTTATTGTGTACCACCCGACAAAAGAAAGCCATAAGAATTCGTATAAAGGCTAATGGAGTCCTTACCAAATATGGAGAAGTAATGAGAAATTTGGTGGGAAGGGAAAAAGGGGGAAAGAGAAGATAATAATGTAGAAATTTAATAATAGGGAATATAAGGAAGGAGAGAAAAAAAAGAGAGAGAAAGGAACGAAAAGATTGAGAGATCAGAAATCGAGCTATTGATGCCCGTACTAGGTGCGTGTTCCAGATTTACCATAACGAAAGACAGGAAAAACCAGGTCCTGTCCGACCAGATCCGTCCAGTGCCAGCTCCCGTGTGCCTGCACAGCGCACGAGGTCCCTTCGCATCTAGTGGCCACAATTGCCATTCCCCCCTCTCTAACCAGCCCTGTCGGCACAGGCACGGGGAGGTCACCCCTAGGTAGTGGCATTCAGAGCTTCGTAGGCCTTTTTCGCAGCTTTTTCTTTGGCGTTTTCCTCGGCCTTGTACACATAACTGGTCTCGTATTCTCTGCCCGCTACACTAACGACGCAGGAGTACCATGATTGCCCGGAGTGCGGTGATGCTACCGGTCCGGGGTCGGGACTGGGGGGTGAGGGTATGCTTCCGCCGCTATGTTCGTAAACTTCGTAGGTAGGAGAGGGTATGCGTTTGGAAGCACAAAGTTCTATATAACCAATCCCATAGAATGTGAGTGTAACCCTCCTGATTTTTGAGGCATTGAAGTTATGAAAGATAGAAGGACACAAAAAGCTGGAGAGTGGGAAGGATATCCGAAAAATTGACTCAGAGGTTGTGAAAAGCTGCAAGATGAAGCCTACCTTGCAGGTGGGACTGCCAGTATGTTCTCGTGTGTGAAACCGCCATATTGTATTTCGACGTCGACACTACCAAGTATTGTGTTTTAACCACGCTGTAATCGAAACATACAACAGGACAACACAGGCACAGGCACAGCCTAGGTGTACGGCTTTCTTATGTGGACACTTGGATATCTCCTGATTTGCGTTTGCTTCTTATTATCGGCAGGGAAAATGCCTCTGTTTCAGAGCTGGGCACACGTTGCAGCAGTTTTCCAAAAAGTTACTCGCCAACGCAAGTGAAAGGCGGGCACTGTGGTCAATCCAGATAAAAAAGACTCACGACGGGAAGAGCGACGATGATCGGCGACTAGGTGTTGGCTTTCTAGAACCTAAGAGGCGTCCTGTCTTTATCCTCACTTGGCGACTAGTTGTCTACCGTAGGTTGTTGACTCAAGATAATCGGGTTGCGGTTGAGTTGCCGAACAAGAGAACAAAGAAGATATATAGGACGCAACATGCCCCAACCTTAAATTTTTCGGGACCCAGAGGCTTGCCCGCCGCTGGCACAAGAAGAACGTACGAGTATAGTACTTTACCCCACATGGGCCATTCTCCAATTATATAAGGATGACACCTCGTTACGCATTTTCGATGCCCCGTTAGTGAAGGTTCTGCCAAACCAGTAGGATATGATCAAAGTTATTGCGGGCTCCGGAGGGACGGTTCGCAGACCATGTGAGATTGACAACTTTTGGTCCGCCCCGCTTTTCGCTCGGCGACTCCAGAACTTCTGATATTCAGTGAGTCCATTTCAGCCTGGCCAATCAGTCTCTATGCCATGGGCCGTCAGGAACATGCAATGCACGGAGGCATTGATAGCCATGTAATCAGAGCAATTTGGCAATGCTGAGCTTTCTTGTGTACTGTACCAGCTGTGTTCCGAGGAAAGTGCCGTAAAGTTCTCAAATAGTCGTAGCCCACTATCCGGTGGTCCCCTACAAGGAGTAGGTAAATGGTTTGCGCTCGGGTAGTACCGGTACTCGGGTACTATTGGCAAGTCACCGTTCTGGTATTTCATGGACGAGCTTGCCTATCGCTGCTTTCAGACTCTCTTTCTCAAAGAATAGTAGGATTGATCGCCCGAGTAGGTATTGCTTGCCGGCCCGATCGAGAGAGACCAACCGTAGTTGAGTTTCGCGAAAACTCCGTAGGAAGGGAAGAAGACTGAAGGCTGGGCAAGCATGTTTCCAGTGAGTTCCGCGGCGTTCCTTCGAGACCATGCTTAGGCAGCTGGAGCGACATGACGCATCCAACGGAACTGCACTTTGTGGGGCAAACTTCGCCCCCCGACAGACCCAAAACCTCGCTTCCACACCCTTTAAAGCCCACCTTCCCCGCCTCTCGTGACTCTCTCTCTCTCTTTATCCTCATCCTCACCCACTCTCAAAACAGTACAGAACTTCAAATTTCTCAAACTCACTCAGCTTCATCCCTCTAAAGACCGAACATGCAGATCTTTGTAAAGACTCGTGAGGCACCTTTCTAAACCCTAAAATCTGCGAGGATCACAAATTAACGCTACGCACAGTTACCGGAAAGACCATCACTTTGGAGGTTGAGTCCTCGGACACCATCGACAATGTGAAGAGCAAGATCCAAGACAAAGAAGGGATTCCTCCAGACCAGCAGCGTTTGATTTTCGCCGGTAAACAGCTCGAAGATGGGCGCACTCTCTCCGACTATAATATCCAGAAAGAGTCTACCCTTCATCTTGTCCTGCGTCTGCGTGGCGGTATGCAGATCTTCGTAAAGACTTGTATGCTTCCTGACTTCTCTCTTTGTTTGCTCGCTTGCCTGCCATTTCCTAACAGTATTTTAAGTGACCGGAAAGACAATCACTCTTGAAGTCGAGTCTTCGGACACAATCGATAATGTCAAAGGCAAAATTCAAGACAAGGAGGGCATTCCTCCAGATCAGCAACGTCTGATATTTGCCGGCAAGCAATTGGAAGATGGCAGAACCCTCTCCGACTACAACATTCAGAAAGAGTCTACCCTCCACCTTGTCCTTCGTCTGCGAGGTGGTATGCAGATTTTTGTCAAAACCCTTACCGGTAAAACTATTACTCTCGAGGTCGAGTCTTCGGATACGATCGACAACGTGAAGGGTAAGATTCAGGATAAGGAAGGCATCCCCCCAGACCAACAGCGCCTTATCTTCGCCGGTAAGCAGCTAGAGGACGGTCGTACCTTGAGTGATTATAATATCCAAAAGGAGTCGACCCTCCACCTTGTCCTTCGTCTGCGAGGTGGTATGCAGATTTTTGTCAAAACCCTTACTGGAAAAACCATTACTTTGGAAGTCGAATCTTCCGATACTATTGACAACGTCAAGGGTAAAATCCAGGATAAGGAGGGTATCCCCCCAGATCAACAACGTCTTATCTTTGCTGGTAAGCAGTTGGAGGATGGACGTACTTTGAGCGACTATAATATCCAAAAGGAGTCAACTCTACACTTGGTTCTCCGTCTTCGTGGTGGTATGTAAATAAGAGCTTTGGTATGGCTATGATTTACGCGGCGGAGATGTGTTTTGCATAAATACTGTTGGTTTTGCTTTTCGGAATAGGCTTTTCTTATTTTCTGTTTGGCGAGGCTATTCTTAGGTGTTTTGTTTTTCTGGGGTCAGGGGATTGGTAGTTAGCGAATTGCGGCTACGGGGCGAGATCAATATCATTCTCGATTCTCTCAAACAATTTGCTTTTGTTTTGTGATGCAGCAAGGGACGGTAGACTGCAAGGTGCAAACTTGCTATGATTGCTTCGGGGCTGCAGTTCCCCGACTGCTTCTATGAGCACAGCATGATAGTATCATATTGGGTCCGACACTTTTGGAGGAGGTTGCCACCACCAAAACCAAGCCACCCCCGCTATCAATGGATCTTATCAGATTCCATTTTTACACAATGTAATACCGAAATGGACAATAAGGATCTGATAGCATGTTCATGCATTGTACGAATATTATCTGTGAAATGTTTTCTAGTACGAGTAAATCCTAAACACATGGAATTGGTTGGACCACCATAGACACGGAGTGCCTTGTCAACAAGGAAAGAGGGCACCGAGACCCCTCATTTTTACCAAACAAGTACCAACACCCCCCCCTCCCTTCTCTAACACCTTTTTCCCATCTTTCTTCTCAACCCAAACACAACCGCCAGCAATACTTCCTCCTCTGCTCCTCATCCTGGCCCTCTGAGTGAGGTTATACAATAACAAATCTGCAATGTCGTCGGATATAATAACCATCCACACACGGGTTTCTTCAGATCTACATACCCCGCGTCCAACTGAACCAATAAGGCCCCTGTTTGAGGACAATGAGTCGGAAAGTGAACTGGAAGAGCCCCCTCAGTCCATAGTGGAGAAGCTTCACCTCCCCAATCGTATTGCCCTTCATGTGACAACAGATGGCCGTGACGACTGCAAAGTTGACTTCGAATGCAACGACTTGAAATGGGGAATCGAAATATCATCCTCCTCCACCTACCCAACTCTCCACGACGATGTCCTGTCATTCAGATACTACGTCAATGAGGATAATCAAGAAGAATACGCACTCTTCAAAGTTTGGGTCATGCTGTTTTGGTATTTTCAGTTGCCTGCCCCTTCTGCAGACTTGATACCGAATAAACAAGGCAGCCCTCGGGGAAGCTGGCAGGTTCACTTCAATAACACCGGACCCTTCTTCAAGTTGGCCAACCTACAAGCCGTTGAGGCTGCAGGGTTGGTATCGTTCCCCGATTCTGGAGCAGCATCCGGTGAATGGATCGGAGCCTATGCCACCAGGGTGGGCTTCTGGCAGTTACCGCCCGAGCCGTTCCTGAACCCGGTTTGCACGTCTAAGAAGCCCTTACACATGCCAAAACCGGTGGAGTACACTTTCACCGATCGTGTTAGGCACCCAGTCCGACCCCGCCCTCAGCCTAACGGTGACATGTATACCAGGTGGATTCCATCATTTGGGCAATTCCTCACTTTCAGACTGACAGACTTGGACGAAGATACGGAGGTGGTGCACAGATGGATGAACGACCCTAGGGTTTCCATGTTCTGGGGGGAGGAAGCTGAGGATCCGGAAAAGACGAGGTCATTCCTGAAAAAGGGATTGGGATCTAAGCACTTTTTCCCGATAATCGGATGTTGGGACGATGAACCTTTCGGGTATTTTGAGGTTTACTGGGTTAAGGAAGACGCGCTGGGACGGTATGCCAGCGATGTGGATATGTGGGATAGGGGTGTGCATTGTTTGGTTGGGGAACAGAAGTTTAGGGGGCCGCACAGGGTGGGGGTTTGGATTTCTGGCCTAGTGCATTGTGGGTCACTCGTGGGACGTTGCCAAGTTTTGTCAAAGAGCTAACGGGTGCAGTCATGTTTCTCGACGATCCAAGAACGCAGACGGTGATGCTCGAACCAAGGGTTGACAATACAAAGTCAGTATTCCGAGGTAGACTGGTGCTCGGGAAGGGAGAACTAACACAATCACAGGTTCATCAAATACCTTGTGGACGCCGGGTTCTACAAAGAAAAGGAGTTTGCATTCCCACACAAGCAGGCGGCACTTATGAAGCTCAAGAGGGAAGCGTGGGAGGGACCACTGTGTTAACTTCCACATGCAGAAGTACCGGTACTGTACAGCAATTTTTAGATCGAGATGACACAAGTAGACGGGAACAATTTAGATGGCGGCTCGTTCGCAAACCTACCGCACCGCAGCTAGAAGAGTGGGACAGAGTCCAATTGCATCCCCGCAGTGGCACCACGTGCCATGGCGAGCATCCTTGGCGGGGGGGGCCTATCGTAGTTGAATTTTTTTTTCTTCGTGGTATATAACACGGGTAGTCATCTGCTGTACAAAACCCCATGTCTCCTCTCCTACCGGTATCATTTAGACCCCCATCACCGAACGAACAAACAAACAATGGCCACCAAAATCGACCCGACAGCCCTCCTCGCTCACCCCCTTCCCGTGCGCAACCTCATCCTCCAAATCCCGCCTAGAATCCTCACCCCACTCCTAACCCACCACGCTCAAGCCTTTGAGCCACAGGGCGCAGTCGTAACCTCCATAACGCCGACCCGAATAACAATAGATTACCTTCAACCGCTACGCGAGGTCTGGTACAACCCTATCCCCCGCACGGCCACCATCCCCTTCACCCCGCCTCTTCCGCCCCTCCCCGCGAACGCAGCGGACGAGCAGGCCAACTTCGACTGGGAGGAAGCATGTGCTACACGGCTTAAAGAGATGTCTACCGCCAGTGAAAAAGTCATTGATAACCGCTCCGACATCGTCGTTACGCGGTACTTGCCGCCGACGTCGCCGGGATCGTTCTTTGCCATGGGCTGGTTTGTGGCGCTGTCGTTTGTTATCGCGCTTTGGATTTTCCGCGGGAGGGAGGCGCCGTATGTTGGTGGCTTCCTGGCGGATAAGGTTTGGAATGTTGACTGGAAGTTTGATGTCACTGCCGTGGTGCATGCTGGGATATTGGTCAAGAAGTGTCGCGATGTGGTTAATTTGGCCGGGAGGTTGAGGGTACACGGGGTCGATCGCCGGCGCGGGGTGTGGGCGCTTTGGCTAGTTAACGTGGCGCTCGAGGGGTGGAGGTGTGCACAGCGGTTTGAGGGGGAGGTCAGGAGGGTGGGGAGGGGTTTGGCGGAGGAAAAGGTTAAGGGGGAGAGTCGGAAGGGGAAGTAGGAGTGTTTCTCTGTTGCGTGGGAGAATTAATGTTATCACTACCTTGATCTCTTGGTAGGGGTAGAGGGGAGGGAACATGTACCGGTATCATGCCGACGTAATTTGATCCTATAACTTGCATGCTATGATATCGATGCTAGACACGAGAGAGCGATAAATGGCTGCGCTATACTCGAGCACGGCACGGCGCTCTTTACAGCACTCACGGATATGCCCCTAGTGCAAGGAAAATATGGTGAAACGTGATGAACAGTAAACGCAGCCCAAACTCCAACCCAAAAAAGAAAAGAAACGAGAACATGTATACACGTTCACTCAACCACGAATGGTGGGGACCCAACTTCTTCGTTGCCTTCTCCCTCTCTTCCTCCTACCACTTCTGCGTTCCCCGACCCTCCCCTTCTCCGCCCCTTGCACCTTCAGCCAGAGGATTGATGACTTTATCTCCACCAACTCCATCACTCCGCTCATCCCAGTCGACGTCGTACTCTTCTGCTATGGCCTTAATCTCTTTGCGCAAAGCCCTGCCCTCATTGACTAACTCCTGCCACTTGTCAACACCGAACCCCTTCTCTCGGTAGAGCTTCATCCGCCGTTTCGACACATCCATACGCGGGACAGACCGGCAGGGAACCTCGCGGCCACCGTAAAGGAGTAAGAGATATCCGACAATGACGGTGGATAAGCCGACAAGGTAGGCCACCGGCTCCATGACATCCCACTACTCCACCACCCCCGTAAGTGAGCACCTGATTCTTAGATATCACTTGCATTATACAGCACCTACCCCCAAACCAGTCTTAAACGTCAGCCAGTAAACCCCCACCCACCACCCCACCAATCCCGCAAACCCACTAATAGCAACCCTCTGTGCAGCCCCGTCAGATCCAGACTCGACCCTGGATTGTAGCTCAATCTCCCTCGCCGCGGCGACAAGTCGCTGGCGGAGGTAATGCGTCCGCTGCCTAAAGCTGGGCATGCTGACGGGCACATCATCGCTTCCTTCAATCTCGATGACAAACTCTGTGCCCCTCGCCACGTCGCGGACAAAGTCGCCTACTTCCGTAGACGCGGACCAGCGCACGTATCCGCCCTTGCCCGATCTCTCGGAGGGACTAAGGGAACTGAGCCCCCCGACTGTTTCGGCCCCACCCTCGCCCTTCCAGCCACCCAGAGACTGGAGCTTCCTTCTGCTTTTGGTGTTGGTGTGTACTTCAAGGAGGGTATCGCCGAGGTCTACGGCTTTGAAGGAGATGCTTGGAGCGCGGGGGGCCGAGTTGGGGGAAGTTATCGGTGGGAGCTCAGCTTGGATTAGGCATTGGAGGTAGGAGAGAGGTTGCAGGGGGTGGACTAGCAGGGCGAGAGGGGGGTCGGTTGGGTGGGAGGAGCCGGTGAGTTGTAGCGGGAGGAGGAGCTTTAGGAGCTGGGAAGGGGTTGGTAGTAGTTTTCCTTGAGATTGTAATGTGAGAATTAGTGATAGGATATGGGAATTCTGGGGGGTGAAATATCGCACCTTTTATTGTAACACTTGGTTCCGGAGACCGCTTTGCGGAGGATTGGTCAATACCTTTACGATGCCGTAGTGAGCTTATCCCCACAGTACCACCGGCACTTCCCGCTAACTCTCTAACACCACTAGCACTACTCGCACCCCCGCCTTTATACTCCCCACTCCCGCGTACGTCGTCTCCCTCATTGCCATCCTTTTCCCCCTTCTTTCCACAGCCTCGTTCTTTCCCTCCTCCCTCGCCCTCACCCTCACCCTCACCCCCAGCCCCCTCATTCCCCTTTCTAGCTTCACTTCCCTTCCCTCCTCCTCCCGTAACCACACCGCCACCACCATCACCATCGTCGTTACCCGTAAACCGCCCGGCCGGTGACGACGAAAACACCCTCCTCCCACCATTCCCACCCGAAGAAACAACGAACAAAAAACTCTTTTGAAAGTTCAAACTCGGCGGACGAGCCAGATGCGAAGTTAAGCTCTGTGTGCTACTCTTCAAGAGCTGCTGTTCTGGTAGGAAGCCCGGCGATCGTAGGAGCACGCGGGGGTTCATTATTGTTTTAGTGAAATGTGGAGGTGGAGGCGGAGGAGCTAGGAAACGGGTCTGGCTTAAGGAATGGAACGAGGGGATAAGGGAGAGGGTGGATTATGAAGGGAGAATTATTCTCTATATGTATGAACATTGCACAGATAACGTGTACCCACACTACCATGCCATACAGTGCCATACACTACAAGTACCGTGAGTGGGGGTGAAATTGTAGGAGAGAGAGGGGTTGCACTTGAATCAGAAGCGGAGCATGGAAGCAAGTGAGAGCAGAAGGAGTTACTCACTCTATCCAGTATTTTTTTATTTTTAAGAAAAATAGCATATGGTCAAGCTGGTGCTGCAGCCAACAGGTGTGTGCCATATCATACCGTGTAGATTCACCCCGAGTAGACTACACGTACTATATCATACCATCATGTATTGTATTGTGTTGTATTGGATAAGGGATTATAGCTTTCTCAGACGTTGCTTCCTCCTTCCCTTCCTTCCTTCTTGAGGCGGGTGCCGGTTATCTCGTGTTGGTTGGTTGGAGAAGGGGAGGGGCTTGTCAGTCAATTGACTGACTGAACCGATGAAAAATGTGGAGCCAAAGGAAAAAGGGGAGGGTATAGATCTGTGGTTGGTCGGGGTTCGCAAGTCTTGTTGTTGGGCGGGTGGGATTGGAAGAGGAGCGAGTTGAGGATGGATGGATATACGAGCACGTATGATGCAGTGCTGTGTGTATATTTGTGGCTGGAACCAATGATACCCGTGGCTACGCAGACTACTGTGCACCTATAAACTCCTCGAGTACTGTACAGTAAGTAGTACAGTACTAGTAGTCTCTTTGGTTTTGACATGGGCTGCGAAAGCCACTTATACCCCACAATGCACCAATATGTGATATATCGGCGCTGTGCTTGTATGATACCGACAGTGAGCGTGACGGTGAATTAGTGATTTGGCAGGGAGGCTGGAAGTTCTTGGTGCATGGAAGGTATTATACCGTACAGGTGTTTCGATAGAGGTGTATTGCTTGGAAAACATGGTGCATGGTAAACCTTCTCGCAAGGAGGTACATAGAGTACCGTACTCGAGTACATGGTACATGGTATGCTGTGTACAGAGGTACGCACGAGTACAGTTATTTCATTTCTCACCCCCTGTTGAAACTAACTTATACGGGCACTTTGCTCAGTCAAACGGGAGTCAATACACCTATCCTGGCGGGAGTTTATACCGGTGATGTCGAAAGCGAGACACCTGCACTTGCGCCGTATGTTGCGTCCGGACTAGACAACTCGAGTACATTACAGTACTCACTTCGCCGCGCACCGAGAGCTCCTGAACCTCCCTACTATGATACTGCTGACTTACAGCCCTTCCCCTCCAACACAACACGTCGCCGCCGGAAAAAAACTATACTCCCGGGGGATCTGGGTCACCTACGAGTACGGTGGGGTGTCCTCTGGGTAATCCACGTCAGAGACCAATCGCGGTGCGGTGCTGGAGCACCCAGGTGGATGGGTAGGATACACATTCGAACCAGACACGACTTTTTCACTCCATTCACGTATCCCCGGTATGATACCTCGGATCACCAATCCTGCAGGTCTTCCGATAAGGTATCCGGACGGGCTCCATGAAGTGCATTTATATCATACTCTTCAAGCAACTCTTGTAGGGAATGGTTGTGGGGTTTGTATGTGTGCGATTAAAGTATGCACCCCCAGAATGGGGATAGGGTTGAGATTAGGGATCGGGCGGAGGGGGTCTCTCAGGTGTCGGGTTTGGAATTTTGAGGGGCATTGCTTGGGTTGATTGTGGAGGAGGATGGTAAATTTAGGTGAGTTTAGGTTTTACCGCTTGATGACAGACTTGAATACCCTGCTCTAAGTTAGGGAGGTCTTTACTGGAGTCGGTTAGGGCTTCCTGGGTGTTTGTATCATACTCGGGTACGATATGATGCCCCAGTTACAGCATACAATATTATGATAATAATTATTATCATCAATTTAAACACAAGTACGAGTACAAGTACTCGAGTATGATATGATAACTATTAAAAATTGCGACAGAATGTCCGACCGCCCATACCAAGATTCTCGGGATCAAGGGTCTTCGCCTTCACCCGCTGCATGAGGAAGAAAGTAATAGTTAGGAAATTCGCAAGTATTCTTCCTCTCCCTTTTTACCCTCATTTCATTCTGCTCCCTCCCCACTTCAAAAGCGGTCATTGCCAGCACCACACTCCTGCACACGGAAATTTGCTCAAATTTCAGTTTCTCTCGCAGCGGGCCGAATCCAACGTCCTACCCACCACCCATGCCCAGGGATCCCCGTGATCCGTCGCAACCACTACCGAAAAGGTCGATTCCAACCCAACATGGCCGTGAGGTAGACGATAAGCTTCCAACCCTAGCTAGGCGCCATAGCTGCAGCTAGGTAGAAATTTTGGAGGTGTGCCATGGTCCCCATCCCGCCTGAGAAAAAGAAGGTGCTGCTCGAGACTGCGCTTGAAAAATCTTCTTCCTCTCTCGCCACAGACGCCCTTCTAGCAACGGCCCATATACATTGTCATTTTGACTACGGGACTATGGCAAAACATAAGGGTGATGGGCACTTGCACCCCACTCAGCCGCACACTCAGACACAGACGCGGATGCGGACACAAATGGGCAGGGGTTCATCTGAGAGATCTTCATCGTCCAGCGACTTGGAGGATGAGAGGAGATTACTGGCAGATATAAATATTCCCGAAGGCCCTCCTCCGCCTCTACCAGCGACTTCTCGAATACCTGAGGGAAAACCAGTGACATGGCTTTCCCTGCCTCGAAAATCACAACTGATCGTTCTGGCCCTCTGCCGCCTCTCCGAACCACTCACGCAGACCTCTGTGGCATCCTATCTATACTACTACTTATCCTCTTTCCACCCGCCAGATAAGCCGCCCCCCAGTGCAGAGACAATATCCCGTCAGGCCGGAATAATAGCCTCCTCTTTTGCCCTCGCACAGTGCCTCACCGGCGTGTTGTGGGGTCACTTATCAGACAGGATAGGCCGAAAGCCCTGCGTCCTCTTCGGTCTCGCGGGGACCGCAATATCGATAATTGGATTCGGCTTTTCGGAAAATCTGGCTATGGCGCTAACCTTCCGCATCCTGGGTGGTTTCCTGAACGGAAACGTGGGTGTGCTGCGGACCATGGTCGCGGAAGTTGTCGTCGAGAAAAAGTACCATAGTAGGACCTTCTTGATCCTGCCCATGTGCTTTAATGTTGGGATCATTGTTGGCCCGGCTATAGGTGGAATGCTGGCTGATCCCGCAAGCACCTATCCCGGGCTGTTCGGCGGAGTAAAGTGGATGCATCGGTGGCGGTATGCCCTGCCGAATCTTGCCAGCGCGGCGTTTTTGTGCATGAGTATGTTATTGGGATTCCTTTTCCTGGAAGAGTCGCTCGAGTCGAAAAGGTATAGGAACAGGACGGATATTGGGTTGAGGGTTGGACGGGGGATTACTTCTTTTGCGAACCGTTTGTACAACACGGGCACTCTCGGTGGTAATTCCCCGAAAACAGATGAACTCGGGGAATACCAAATCGTGACGGATCTTGACGTTGATGACGATGATGCCACCGTAGTGGGTTCGACAACGCCTTCATCTTCTTCCTCCGCTTCTATTCGATTCATGCCTGTCAAGCCGAAGAAACCCCCCACACGCCAAACTCTCCGGAAAACCCTCACAAAGAACATCACCTTCACGTTAATCGCCTTTACAATCCTCCCCCTGCATAATGCAACATTCATGCACCTCTGGGGGATATTCCTCTCAACACCTCGCTCCCTCACACCTCACCCTTCATCCCCGTTCGCATTCACAGGGGGGCTGAGCCTTCCAGCAACCCAAGTCGGCATCGCAATGTCCTACCTCGGCGTCATAGGAATCCTAATGCAACTACTCCTCTACCCCCCGCTCCAGGAGAAACTGGGGCTATTACACAGCTTCCGCATCTCCTGCATGATTTTCCCAATAGCGTACTTCCTCACGCCATTCCTTGCCCGCGTGCCGTCTACGTCCCCACCCGAACGAGCGGCGAGCGGATGGTTGGTGTGGGCTTCCGTCGTCGGTGTTCTGCTATTGCAAGTCACCGCGCGCACGTTCGCGCTTCCCGGTAGCGTGATACTACTGACTAACTCCGTTGAGAAAAGGAGTAATCTGGGAACGGTAAATGGGGTCGGGAGTTCCCTGGCTAGCGGATCTCGCGCTTTGGGCCCGGTCGTGGGCGGGGTGTTGTACGCCGCTGGATTGGAGGGTGGGGTCGTAGGGTGTGTATTTTGGGTCATGGCAGGGATTGCCACTCTCGGGGCTTGGTGGGCTTGGTTTTTGAAGGAGGGGAGGGGGTTGGTTAACGATGGGGCCGAGGACGAAGGGGAGGAGGGACGGGTGGCTTGAGTGTGAGAGGTTGTTTCTTTCGATTAGGGAAGTGATAAACGGTATTAAGTCATAGGATAGGCGTTTTGCTTTACCGTATTAACCTCGAATAAGGGAAATGTCTAAAGACGTCTCGGTTTCCCCTTTAGGTAACGCGTTGTTTTGCTTTGCTGGTATTTTCTCCCGTCCCGGTTAGGGTAGGAAACTGAGACATCCTGGGACATATTTCACTTGTCCAAGTTAGTACTGGGGGTAGTTTGAGTTATGGGCATCAGTATACCGTAAAATATAGATTAAGTTACAAGTTGAATGGTTCTTTTTATTGCTCCTCTACGGCTATTCAGCAGTGATACCTTGCTCTGCTGGAATCATCTCTGTATCATAGGTACAAGTATAATTGCATTAAATTAAACTTTATATTAGAGATTATTCATGACGAATTAAACAACATTTTGCTTGTAAAGAAAATGTATTCCGAGTGATAAAGTGTGAGGAAGATATCAAGTGTCCTCGGACCGTCGTGGCCTTCGGGACTATTGACCCAAATGTCGGCCCTCCCTTCACCTCCTCGCACCCTCCCGCTTGCGTCTTAGTGTTGCGGTATCTCGCGCACTCCGTGGGTCGGAATATGTAAGGGTGTAATAATCTCGTATTCTGGTCGCTAGCCGGTTGGAAACACGGTTCAATCCACTCTATCAACAGACTCGCTATCTTGGAAGGGGTCGATATCAGTGGCTTCTCACAAAGTTTATCGTTTCCGGCTCCCGCTAGATAACTAGAACTAGTGGGAATCTCCTCTCCAGTTCTCTCCTTCCTGCAAATACAGTACTGGCAGTCGGTTCGAGCGAAGGGCGATACAGCCATCCTACCCCCGAGCCTATATACCTCCGACGCCCATTACAGCTTTACCGCGAACCGACTCTGCCAGCTGGATGTTTTAAACTACCCTTTCCCTGTCCCGTCATTTATTTTATGTGTGTACATGGGGTGGAGGGCATGCTTGATTCGAAACTGGGTTCACACTGGATAAAGGCTTAAAAGTATCTACCTAATGATACAGGGATTATTCATGAGAGCTGTGATACCTATGATATCATACAATAAGAGGGGCTTTGTGCCGGGGGAGGTGGGGTATCGGAATCTGTTTCGTGGGGGTAGCAATCATTCACTCTCACTCGGGAGAGGTGTTGGATTACTGCGGTTCAGCGAGAAAAATGATCGTCGACATATGCATACTTGACAACGCTCTTGCCCGCAAGCCACTCCCTGGTTGCGTTGGCAGCGAGAATATGCTACTCAGCCCACGAGGAATTGGAAATAAGATGATATTTAAAGGAATATATTATGAGAGAGCCATAGACTGGGTTGAAACTGGGATACTACCCTAGGCGACTATTGCTTTCCCGTCCGCGATGTTCAGGGGTGAGTGGGAGTGCTTGGGCCTGAAAGTTTGTCATTTCGGTGCAGGGAGGGTGAGGGGGGTAAATTGCGAAGAGGATCTATGGCGCTGTGGTAGCACATCTGAGGATGGTCTTGCCCCTACGGGTGTGTATTTCGTGGCAGAAAGTCGCTCAATATGTGGGATCGTTTTCCCTGTAAATTTTAGCTTATCCTGGAGAACGTTTTCAAGGGTGTGTGATGTAATGGGGCTGCTGAAGCACGGCACTGTATAGAGTGTACTTATGAGCCTGTGTGCGGAATAGTGTGAAATATCGCGTAGAGGATGTGATCACGGATGGTAGACTTGGAGGAACTACTGGTAAGGGATTATTGGATGGTTGGATGGCCCGGTTATGACTCTGCACTGGAGGGGCACTCCCAAGGGATATTTTTTATTTTATTTTATTTTATTTTTTCAGAAAATGACTAGGTGATGCATCGATGTGAGGGTTGGTCACAGCAGTACGGTACACACGCGGAATCGATGGACACACACGAGACCCGGGAAGAGGGGTATGGGCCGATTAAGAGCCATGGATCGGGAGTAAATGTGAGCAAACAAGATAGTGGGAGAGAAAAAACATAACTCCGGGGGATATGATCTCACTGGTGGGGCAGAGAAGGTGGTTAGTTGACGGGTAATTTTACAGGAGTTCCGAGCAGTGCTATCACCACACGGTGCTCGTGAGATAGGGTTGTGGATTTTCTATAGCTATGTCATACCCCGTAGTGCGACAGTAAGCTTACTTAACGTTCAATACGCAGATGAGGAGGAGGACAATCACAAAAGTGGTGTATCCCGCAGCGTCTGTCGGCCTAGAAGAAAAAGAGGAAAAAAGAAGAAAAAATTCGGATTCCTCTTACCCCTAGTGCGAAGCATAGATTTAGGAACGTTCCGGAGTTTTCGTTGCGGTTGAGGCTTTCTCCTACTCCTATCCTAAGGCGGGGGTGAGCCCCCTGTTTTGTTCTACCAAGAAGATATATGGAAGCTAATGGAACCCTCTGATTCGGCAATAAAGGGGGAATAGGTGAACAGAATCTGATACAAACCATAAAGACACCGTTGCGGAATAACATCGGTCAGAGGAGAGAAAGGGAGGAGGGAGAAAAGGATGATAATATTATATGAGCAAAGCTAATGTTAGTGATGTTTGATGGCTAAGTGAATGGAACAATCCTAGTTACTTCACCCACCATCGTTCACACCCGTGTACTGTTACTGTAGCACATGGTTAAGTCTATAGAGAATTTCCTCACCGATTTTCTGGTGAGCAGATTCATCAGCCCCCCGTTGCTTGCCAACTCTCGCTCTATTTAGCCAACATGGTGCTCGGAGCGCTTCGCTCCGCTAAAGTTGGTGGGGGAAGTAATGGTACCATATCGAACGCTTACTATCATAACTTAAGTTAGTTGATCATTCGGACAGTGGGTGGCGGTAAATGGCGGGAATGAATTTAGACTAGCAATTCGTGAATACCATAATATTATAGTAGAATCCCCCAAGCTCGCGATCCAAACACTTCTCCCGAGCACCTCCATTCAGTAAACATGCGCAAAGGCCAACAGAAGAGCGCCACAAGAAAGACAAAACCCGCTAGACTTAACTAGGAGGTCAGTCTGAAGGGGGATAAAGGCTTCGATCAAGCACGCGAGAGCACATGGAGTACTCGTACGAATAAGTACTCGTAGACTAACAAGTTTGTCGAGTGACAATTTGTGATTTCGAAAATACGCGCCGGGTACCATCCTGGCAGTTGCTCCCTCTAGTTATCATAATTTAACACCGATTAACGGATGAGGAAAAACTGCCCCCCACTTGAGGCGCAACCCACCAGCGGAACCCGTGGTTAATGTCGCTCGCAGGCGCTTTTGGCCACATTCAGGTACTGCAGTACGGGGGGACTTGCGTACTCAAATTACGCACGATAATGACATCCTTCTTATCTTTTACCCTCACAAGTATCGCGATGCTCTATTTCTCTTGTTTTTCTCTCATTCCTCCTCGCCCGGCGTTCCCTTCTACTGCTCAAGGTTCTTTTAAAAGTCCGCGGGATACGAGTTACGTCTTTGCGGGCCCAAGTTATGGCGGTTCCCGCCAAATCTGGTATCATAAATATCATATATCCTGTGACTGTCAAGTATACCGTGATTGAATGACTTATTTCATTTTCCCCATTCCCAAGACCTTGAAGAACGTCGAGCATCGTAATCCAATTTCCCCGCCGTACGTAAACCACCACTCAAACCCAAACCCCTCGACAACCTTCTAATCCCATCGCAAGCCATCCACCCCCTCCCCCTTTCTCATCCTCTCCCCACCCATCTCACACAATCCCTAAACGCTGCACAAGGCCTCCCTCCCCCCAATCACAACCAATTGCCCACCTACCCCCACCTGCTGCCGACACCTAGGATAATCCCAGCCGAGGCGAGACAAACTTCGAGTGATACTCCATGACTTCTATCGCCGACTGCCTGCATGGGGTGTCCTTGGCCAATGATTTTTGCCCCGTATCTTCGGTTTTCACTCCATCTCGCTGTGCCAGGGCGTGGGCGAAGTAAGTGCTATATTTATGGAGTGGGGGCGGGTTATTATTGGTTGGCGATTGGGTTTGTTCGACTGGGTGAGCGAGAGCAGACTACGACACAGTGCTCGTATGGTATGGGCCTTGTATCATATTGAGAAGTGCAACTGCAATGGGCGATGGGGATAGTGCTCTCAGGTACTCGTATCGTGGGATACTGTAGGTACGGGAGGGAGTCTCTGATGAGGTGCGAGTAGGATACGGTAGGTACCTGCGTCGAGTAGACTCGCGTAACTTGACTGGGCCACGCCAAACAACAGAACCGCGGCCCCCCAGAAGAGAAGAAGAAAAAAACCCCATCGCAGCGAGTTCGTCTATCGTACCTGAGAAAGCCGTCCGCTTACTTCCTCTCAAGCCAAAAAAGCGGGAACACCCACTCACTGCCACCACCACCGCAACTCAACCCAACTTCTTTTTCACCCAATTCCTTTCCCCCCACCTCTACCACTGCGAGCTCCTACACAAGAGGGAGCAAGCAAAAGAAGAAAAAATTCGGTTGTGCAAACGCATCAGACACACATCTACATTCACACCGAACCAACCAAAGCCAAAAATTACAGATCTACACTTCTAAAACCGGTTACTCCAGCCCGGGACTTGCACTTTTTTTCTTCTCCATTTTTGCTGTGCATGATGCATGGGTGATAAGGATTAGGATATGGATGGATGCTTCGCTGGCAGGGTTACACGTGCGACGTGTATACTCGAGTACCGGTATGATAGCAACGGTATTTGTGTGCTTGTGCTTGTGCTTGTGAGAGGGTAAGTTGAGTCGTTCCTGCAGGGCAGGGGCTGATTGAGGAGAAGATGAGAATTGACTCGAGATGGAGGGGAAAAGGAAGGGGACGGAAGGAGAGAAAGAGGAAAAGCGGGTTTGTCGTTCGCTGGCATGATTGTCTCTGTGGAACCGCGGGTGTGCGACCGGGGATGGAGACCTAACCCTGACAGGGGGTATTGACGGTATCGCGATGATTTGGTTGTGGCCCTTGTGGGCATCGTGTATACTGTATCATACGGTACTCGAGTAAGTGCTTGACACTGGACGCGCACGAGCACGATGGTTGAGGAATTGGGTTGGGAGGCTCAACTTAATTCACTTTGCCTCAATCCATTCTACTCAATTCAGTGCCTGGAACTTTCGAGCAGAGGGGTGTCTACTGGCACTCGACTAGCGGTACGGGAACCACAAGGGAAGAACCATTGATACGGTATCTTGGTAAACACCCCTGCCGCCCCCTGCGGCTTACTTTTACATTGATTTCTTTCCTCTATGAGTACAGTCGCACCTCGCTATCCCGGACGGCCAAAATCTGAAGAATCCGTCCGGCACAGCGAGGGATCCGGGACAACGGGTCAGGCTTTGGTGGAAAGAAATTCAGAGTTCACAAAGATTCGTACGGGACAGC